CAGAGAGGCGACACCTGGTCAGGAACGGCCAGGTCATGCCCGGAACAAGGGAAAGAGCCCCACTCCAAAATGAGGAATTCATAAAATAACTCTGACATTCGGCGGTTCAGGGTAGACGGCAGGGCAGTGGGTAAGTTTGACGACACGCAAAAGGAAGTCAAAACCAGGGTCGAAAAACCGGTTTGGGTGCAGGAGCAGCTTGAGGGAGGGCCAGGCCAGGCGCTGGGACACCTCCAGGCCCCTCCAGGGCGCTGCATTTCTAACTTCAGCCAACCGTCCGGCCCCGCCTGGCTCCGGCCTAGGTGTCCAGGACGGTCCTCTAGCCAGGAGGGGGAGGGGCGCTGTCGTCGCTCGGGCTCTCACCGGCGCACCCCTCTCAACCCCGGGGTGAAAAAACAACCTCAGGCCCGAGCTTACGCAACTCGGCGGTTCCATGGTCCCCGGGGGTCACCCAACCTCTCCAGACCAGCGCGCCCCCAGCAAACTCAAGCTTGGATCCAGCTCGAGGTCCGGCCTCAGCGCCCCCTCTAACAGACCCAGAGGAGACAAACGGGGGTCGCGGCGCGCCGCCCCTCCGCACCCGGAGCCCTCCCTGGAGCTCCCCGGCACCCGAAGTCCAGCACGCGCACCCCTGCCTCTCCGGAAAGGCGCGTCGCCGCAGCGCTCCCTCTAAACTCCAAGGCAAACCCGAGCTTGAATTTGTACAATCGTAAACGCCGCCCCGTTTGGGCGAGGGCCGGAGGCAGGCGGAGACCGCGAGGCTGGTGGGCGGGGCACTGATAGTAAAGGAGGAAAGAGAAAAAAAAAAAAAAGCCCCAAAAACAAAAAACAAAAAACTCAAGTTCTAGTCGCGGTCTGGAGAGGCGCGTCCCGCCCCGCGCGCTCGCAGAGCATCCCCGGGAGGCTCCTGCGCGGCGCCCCAGCCCGGCTCCCGCGCGGGGACGAATCCTGGGCTCCCAGGCGACGAGTTTGTAACTTGAGCCTAGGAGGGGCCACTGTAGGAAGGAGCCCCTCGCTGGGGCATATTTCCGGGGAGCGCAGGGCACCAGCCCTCGGCGTCCGGGCGCGGATGCGCCCTCGTGCGGAAGCTCGGTGTGCTGAGAGCCGTTCTGAGGCCTGGTCGGGGGTGGGCAGGGGAGCCTGGGAGCCGGCCAGGCTGACGCGGGTAGCCCGGAGAGCCAGGCGGGGACACAGAAGGTCTCCCTAGGCTCGTAGTCTTTACGTCGCCCCAAGCTGCAGGCTTCTCGGAAGTCAGTGCCCCCGCATCTCCCAGCCTGCAGCAAAGCCCTGAGGTTTCCAGCCTGCGTGGAGGGAGGCTCCCGGAAGGACCCTGGTGGCTCCTACTCTGGGGCCCCAGCAGAAATCGGGGTGGGTGTGAGATGAGGGCAGGGAGCACCCTGGTCCTAGCGCAGGCTGGGCAGAGGCCAGGCACCAGCCAGGTCCCAAGAGGCCTCCGAGGAAAAGGCTGAGGGGAGGGGAGAGAGGAGGTGCTCCCATCCAGCCTCCCCAAGGGCATTTCCCCTTCCTCTGCTCCTTAGCAAACTGGACATCAGACGCTCCAGCCATGGACGGTCTGTGTCATCTTTCCCAACACGGCACCGCTTTTTCTCCGGGTCAACACAGTTGGCGAAGTCTGCATACACGAACGAACGATCGGACCATACCTGCGATAGGTTTGAGCGGAGGGTGGAAAGATACAGGACTTCCTCAGCCAGGTCACCTCCCTGATGTCCCGAACCCGCTGGAGATGGTGGTGACAAGGGTGATATTAATCACTGAAACGTCTCCAACGCTACTAGGTGCTGGCACCCTCGTAAGAGCTCCCTCGGGTCGTGTCAGTCCTCCTCCTGGCTTGAAGACACAGAAGTCCTCACCGCTCCCATTCTACACACCGGACACTGAGGCCAGGAAACTAACAGGAAGTGTTGCAGACAGGGGAACAGCCCCATTACAATGGGGTTACTGTGTGTGGATGCCAAGGGCCCCGTGGAAGCTCTCTCCAGAACCCTCACGGCATCTTCGAAAGACGGAAGGGATGGGTTTGCCCATTTTACAGATGGGCACCAAACACCCCAGACAACAGAGGTCACAAAGAGCAGAACGGGGTGGGGGGGGGGGTTGGAATGCACATGCTTTCCTGCCAAGGCGGGTTCTCTGAGGCCTGACATCCTTGGGTGTCCTCAGCGGCTCCTCGAGGTATGTCTGGAGCAGGTTCCTGCTGCGTTGGGGGGGGGGGGGGACATGAACATAACGCTCTGCTGAAGCCCAGAGAACAGGGCAGGATTTTCCAAATTACTGATTTCCTTAGAGCCCATATTGTCCCCAGCAGTAATTTCAAGGGTCTAAAACGGGCAGTCAGGGCACATCGCTAGGGCACATCAGCATGTGGCCTGACGTACACCGTTGGCCGAGACCAAAGAACCACTGTTCTCCTGGTGCCCTGTAAACCCTGACGGCTAGCCGTGAGTCCTTCCTATGGCCTGGACTCTCCTGACCTGTGTCGGACTCACTCGTCCTCAACCATAACCCTGCTTGATGATCCTCCCATTTGGCAGTCGAGAAATGGGCCGAGAGAGCTACAGGGGGCACGCCTGAGGTCACGCGAACCCTCCGCTGGCCTGTGTGGAGGCCCTCAGTTGGTGCGTGTGGATTCAGCTTAGAAAGGCTCGTTGAGGAGGTTGCCTGTAAAAACAACACGCAGGCAGAGAGAGAGCCCCCACGGGGCTGCTGGGAAAGGTAAGACCCAGGGCCAAGGGCCACTAAGCCGGGGGTCAGAGGGGCCTCTCTGGCCTCCGTGACCTCCCGCCTGGGTGGGCATACAGACTGAGCTCAAAGCTGTACCCCAGGCTGGGGCAGCCCTCCCCATGCTCCCCAACTCCGTTTCCTTAACAGGATCTGTGCGGCCAGGGGGCCAGTCCATCTGTCAGCCCACCTCCCCCCCGCCCCCCTGCCCCGTGCCAGCTTTTCACACACACACACACACAGTTCCGGGATCAAGTCCCCACCAGCCCGGCACTGGCAGAACCACCCCAGCATCAGACATACGCATTCGAGAATCACACTCTACGCGGGCTGCGTCTCTCTGTGTTGGCCACGAAGCAGGAATGTCGCCGAAGCCCGGGAAAGGCTTGCACGAATCAGGGCAGTGGTGGCCGTCCTGACTGCAAAGTGTCTGAAACCCTGCAGCCTCCCTTACATGCCTATGTCAAAAAGCAAACGTTTCAAATGCCTTGGCGAGCCGAGGCCACGCAAAAAGGAGGCAGGCAGGGAACGCTTCTCGAAGTTTGGGAAAGCATTTCGAGTATGTGGTGCCCGAAGGCTTCCTCTGGGGGCACTGGTCCCCTGTGCCCCCCTCACCTGGAGGCTGCCCCCCCCCCCGGCCCTGGCTGCACCCAGGGCATAGAACCTCGGGCCTCCACTTCTCCACGGCCACCGCGCCCTGACAGTCAGTCAGGAGCGTCCCGCCTGGGACGACACAGGCACACGTTCCCTGAGGCACGAGGCACGGGTGCTGAGACCCCCAGCGCATTCCGGAGAAAGTCAGTTCCCCCTGTTAATTAATGGGTCTCTTCTCGGGTCTCTCTTTGCACTCACCTCAGGTTTATGGTTATCAGTGAATTCCTGGCCAACACCCGCACAGTGTTCTGGATTCGGAGTGGATTTGAGGAGGGAGAAGGCAAGAACTCAGGCACTGGGGTTAGTTTCCACAGGGGACGTGGGGGTGTTCTGGGGACTCCGTGCTCTCTGCTTTGAATGCAGCTTACAAGCCTCTTCCAGGCCCAAAGGCGACCCCAGGCAATCTTGGGGTAAAAGGAGATGGGCCCCACGAGATTTAGGAGCCAAGCACCAAAGTTCACAGGACCCCAGGACATTTGCTCCTGCCTCTCACTTCTGATCTTCATTTCTTACCAGCCAGATAGGAGAGTGGGGATAAGTGAGGGCCCACTGCAGGAGCCTGACTACGCCCGAAAGGAAGGTGCCAGGCTGCCCCAAATGCCCTTATACCCACCTGGTCATTTTACACGTAAGAAGACTGAGGCCAGCCAGGAGAAATGGTTTGCTCACCTGGCATCATGTGGCTGTGGAATTCCTAGGCCAATGCTCAGGCAATTAGGGGACACGTGTCACCATGATTTGGGTGTGGGTGGGGACAGGCTACTTGAACCAGGGGATGAGGACCACCTGGCGGCAGGCTCAGCTCTGGCTTCGGGAGAGGGGCCTGGGCTGGGCCACACCCCACACGTCCCTCTGCCCTCGAGAGCCGTGAGCGTGGGGCATGTCTCCGAGTCTTACAAGAAGCAGAGAGGCTCTCCGAGCTGCAGCCTCTATGGGGCTGGGAATGTTCGGGATTGTCAGAAGCCTGGGAGTCTTTCCCAGCGGCCCGTATCTATGACAACTGGACCCTGGGTAGAACCGGTCCAGGCAGCCAAGGCCAGTCGGGCACGCAGGGTTAACTCTGTAGGAATCGGTCTCCGCCGTGGTGTTGGGGCTGCTCCCATTTTATTGACAGTAGCTCTGAGACCTGCCTGGTTCCACGTTACTGGATCAGGAGGGAACGTGGCTATTGCACGGGGCTTCGTGCTAAGTGAGCTCGGCGGACCGCAGAGCTGCCCGCCAGGAGTCCCAGCAGCCCGCGACCAACATTCCGGCCCTTCCATCGTCGGCCTCCTTTCCCCTTTTCCTGAAAGGCCCTGGGCCTCGCGAGGACCCAGCGGCTGAAGCAAGGGGAGGGGAGCGGATACGTGTCTGCATCTTTGCGCGCTGGGTGGCAGACGCCCCAGGGCAGCGGGAACTGGCAAAGCGGCCCCAGACGCCTCCACCGCCTCCACCGCCTCCACCGGGATGCTCCGCTTCCCGCTGCTGCTGGATCTCCCCACCCCGAGGGAGGCGCCCGAGGCCGCTCAGTCCCCAGGCCCGAGGTCCTAGCGGGGCTGCTGAGGCGGGAGCGCTGAGCCCAGGGAGTTCTGAGCACCGTGTCCAGCTCACGTGGCCGGCCTTCTGGGGGAACTTACCCGCACCTACCCTGGCCCCTGGGCCTCGGGGTCAGGAAGCTTTCCGGGTTCCGAGGCGTCCCAGCGTGCCATGGCCTCACACACCCCTCCCTCTGCGGCCTCCAGAGGCCTGGAGAAAGCCCCGGACACAATCCCTCGAGCTGCCCACGTTCCTAGGGAAACGGAAGGGTGCTCGTCTCCCGGGCGGGCGGGGGTCCCTTCCTGAGCTGTTCACTGGGCCAGCGCCCCGGCACAGGCACTGCTCTCAGAGGGGCCTTTCCTGAGACAGAAGGTCCCGCGGTGTGGCTTCAGTGGCAGCTCGGGTCTCGCCGAATTCTTACCCGTTTCTCTCCCCTTTATTTCCTGCGTGTCTCTCAAACCTCCGCTGAACTCCGAATCTTGAGAGGAGGACGCACTTTCAGGGCGGACTCTATGAAAAGCCTGGGGAAGGAGAGAGCCGGCTGGACTACCCTCCTGGAATCCAGCGCCAGCATCATCTGGACAACAGGAACGAAATGGCCCCGGAGCGCAGGAGCTGGGCAGGGAGGGCCGGCCTCTGCTGCCGTTGGGAGCTGGGAGCGGGGGGCCTCTTGGCCTCCCTCTCTTTCCTCGCTGGCTAGTCCAGCTTACTCAACCAAGGCAAGGGGGCCTGGGAGCCTGCTGGAGGTCAGACACCAAGCGCGGGGGCTCCCCGATCCCGAGCACTATGAAAAGGAACAGAATGCAGCATTTAAGTCTTAACCACTAGTCACCTCTGGGGCCACAGATCCAAAGAATCTGTGTGGCACATATGGGGAAATTTATTACGTTCCTACCTCCCCCAGCACTACATCAGCATGACCTGGAGACAAACTGCCATGGTTAAAACAACACAAAACCAGGTTCTGTTCAATGCCACTGCACCAAGGAAAATCACTTTTTGGAAAAATCATCATCCCCCGAAATGTTAAGCCCGCTTCGCCCTAAGCAAAGTACAGCTGACCTCCTTGGGTGGGAAACAAATCCCCAGTTTGGAGCCCCGGCCTCAAAACTCACACTCAGAGACCAGCGGGGGGGGGGGGGCCGCCCTAAGTGTGCCTTTGGGCCAGTGAAAGAGATAATAAAATCATCCCCTCACCCCCCTCCCGCCTTCCGCCCCAGCCACACCCCACAAATGGTTTCATTGCTATTAAAAAATTTTTAAAGACAAGATATCCAAACTGAAAAGGCAATCATCTCCCTGTGATTTACAGTCCCGAAAGAGTTGGTAAATTTAGAACTCCAAAAGCATCGTAAGTTACATTCGAAGGCCGAGGAGCCTCTACAGTTTTTCACTGCAGTAGGGTGAAGATTAAGAGACCATATCAAGGCGTAAAGGGGTCTGAAATCCACCTCTGAGCTAACCGCCACCAGAATCAATCCCCTTTGGACCTTCTCCGGCCCACTGCACGTTGTTTTCTGGAAAGCCATTACGATGGGGAAGGAAGTCCGCATTTTAGGAATCGGAGGGAAAGCAGGACTCCCCCAGGTCCCAGGTTCGTAGTTAAACTAATGAAAAACTTGGGTCCTCCCTGTCTTTTGCTTCCGCAGCTGGGGATCACTGGGTTTGAGATGGAATGGTGGTACTATTTGTGTTGACAATTGGCTTTTTTTTTTTTTTGCATTTAGCAAAACGTTTACAGCGAATAACGTGAAGGTGCCCAGTCCTTCAGGCATCCACGTCCAACCGGGACGTTTCTCAACTGCCTAGGCCAGGGTGGGATCTGAGTTCATGGAAAGTCCTTTCCGTCACTAACAAGACAACAGGGGAGCGTCCCCAGTCCCCTGCGAGCATCTGTATACGTCTATGCGTTCACCCACCTGCGTAACAAATATGATCAAAACAGGTGGATTTGCAAACACACCTTGTTTTTAAAAGCTGCGAGAAGACAAACACTGTCCGGACTTGGTGCAGAAAAACAACATGGGTTTATTTTAAGGTAAGTACAACAATTAACACCACATAAGACAAACACAGGTGAAGTTAAATTTTTAAAGTTTTTTTTTTCTTTTAGGAATGCTCAGGGAGGAATCTACTATACAAAACCATCACACTCTGTAAATAAAAAGTATCAGATACTTGACTTCTTTATCCGCCAACAACAACAACAACAACAAAATAAATTATTTCCTTGTTTTGTAAAAGACCTACCACCGGGAAAAGAATTATGCCTCATAAGTGTACAGGGCGGTAAAAACAAAAACAAAAAAAAAAACCCACGTAGGTTTCTTAAATTTTCATTTTGGGGGTTAGAAATGGTTGGGCAAGATGAAAACTTATCCAGTGAACTCAACTTTAAATATTATATTAATGGCTCTGAACAACAACAACAAAATAGCCTGATTACAAATGCACACATTTGTACAGCACGGTTAGAGAAATTTAAAATTACACACAGCACAGACGTAATCTATAGAGACACCCCCCCCCCCAGACCTATGGGGGTCTCTACAGAGAGAGTCATTACCGGGTCGCTCTGGGATTTGGTCC